TCTTACTGCAGGTTTTGTCTTTAATTGCATATATACTACCTATACAAAAAATATTACATTAATATTTAACTCTAGCAAAATAATTAACATTAGCCATGAAAAAAAACGACTATATCCCCCTAATTTGCATAACTGGTGAAATTACCATTAGCCATGAGTTTCGCCTACCAAAAATAATAATGGGACTATCCTCTTAAATAGTGTAACTGATTCGCATCAGTTAAAACAAAAAATAAAAAATATATAGATGGTAAGATAAACCAAATACTCAAAAACATACTATATATACATACCGTCACCAGATTTACTTTGATGTATAAACGTACTATATACATTTTATAAATGTCTTATATACTATTGGTTTTTTTTTGTTCAGGTCCAAAAAAGACTCAGTGATAAGGTGTTCAAGGTATTATGTGATTGGAAAGCTTGTATCTATGTTTTATAAACAGATTAATACGTTTATCTATCTTTTCTATTGTCGTGCAGTATATGTTTTATAATATATTATTTTTATAAATTATATATATATATATATATATTAAGGATTGTGTTTATTGTACAACTAGTATACCGTGTAATATACCTTACATAAGACGTTTGGAATTATACTTATTCTACACTACTGTACCGTGTTATATACCAAACAAAAATTATAATATATACAAATTATAAATCTGTATCAAACATGATTCATTTCCATCTAGGTTGTGAACCTACTATTCTTGTTTCGCAAGTCACTGATAAAATGATCTTCTGTTCAGCCGCTAAATGAACCATCTTATCTAAGTGCAAAACAACAGAACATAAACTGTTTAATTAAACATGATTCTCATTTAAACAGGATTAGTGTAAATAACATCTAAAGTCAAGCTTTCAGTATGTACACTAACATCCATCATGCAAATTTTATAATAAAATTCTAGAGAAACTATCTCATGTGGCGATTAGAAATATTGGTGCCGTCTTCTTTTATGCATATTTATTTTGTTGCGATCTCCCCATATTCCATATTACTAAAATACACCATAATTATAATGTAACCCTCGATTAAACGGCATTAAGTATGCTTATCGCAACCGTTGGCGATCCACTGTTAACAAACTGTTCTTTGAGAATTAGATTAAAATAATGTATACTTAGTATTTCTGAAAGCTTTAAAGTATAAGTGAGAGATTGTTAGGGTATAATGTAGAAGCTTGACTTGTGTTACCAAACAATTCCATTTTGAATGAAATTCATGTTTTAGTTAAGTGTATGTTTAAAGTTTATTTATTTATACGAACATGGTTCCTTTATTTTATTGGTTCGATGTATCAAACAGAAAGATCATATCATCGGTTTTTTGTAAAATATAAACTATTGGTTCACAACCTAGACAGAATTGAACTAACTGTTGTGAACTGTTGTAGTGTGATTTTCGAGTTAGTTGATCTTTGACTAGCGAATCACACTAGTATATTTTGAATGTATTGATTTATACTGACCATGTAAATATTCTAGACCTTAGTAATTGTTGCGTTTTCTTAACTCGTAAGATAATAATGGGCATATGTATTCTATTATTATTTATTTGATTTACCAAGAGTGAGATATATCACAAGTCAATTACCTCCGTAATTTTGTAAATAATTCCGATTATATGATGTGCCACTAAAATTGTTTATGCTATTGTGTCCCGTTGCGCTTGGTTGATGACGTCCCCAAAATGAGCTCAAAAAGAATTATTATGTCAAGCCCTGCAGATGGATTGAATTTTGACATAATAATAAATAATTAAGTGGTACTAATTTTTGGATAAAGAAGTTGATTAATTATATTATCATTAATTAAATTAATCAATATACGTTAGATCTTAAACATGAGGAGAAAAATAGAGCAATCTATTGGGAGAAGAATTATATATTCGGGGTCTAATTGAAAATTCAATAATATACCTTTAGTGGAATGAAATATTATTCAAATTTGAATAGAGTAGGTAGACCAAGGCTTTACAATTGTGTTCATACTTGAGGAGACCTTATTAAGCACCTCTTTAGGGTCCTTATTGTAGCCTATAAATACACCAAGTCCCATAGCCTCCTTACACGATATTCACATGCAAAAGTTCAGAAATCTTGAGCAAACAAATTGGCAAAAATCGATAAAATAAGAAAGAGAGAAAAATGTATGAACCGAGTGAGTTTTGTGAGATCCGACGAGTCTTCCATCAAGGCAACTCGAAATGGTGATCAGTTATACAACAAAAGTCTCAAAGGTAGTCCGTTCATATGATTTTGAGACCACCACACGCAGCCCCGCACGACCACGGCCACTGCACGAGGCATCCCCGGACGACTTGAGGTCACCAGCATGTGGCGAGGCGCAAGACCGCAACGATACACGGCGTGACGCGGCCAGCTTTTTCGAGTCACGATGACGAGAAGTTAGACAGAGAATAGAACCGTTCGTCTGATACCATAGACCGTGTAAGTCGTCTTAGAGACTGCGATTTTTAGACCTTAAGTTCTTAATCCTAACTGTAGTTTCCGATGCGCTAAAATTAAATTTCTTAGAATTTGAGTTACACATCGATTGACGTTCTTTATACAACCTAACAGAAGTCGCATCATGCACTACGCACATGAACCATAATTTTTAGACCATTTTCTCCATTTAAGCAAAAAAAAAAAAAAAAATCCTTCACGGAAATGCTACGGTATCGTTACGGTAACATTCCGTCGGGATTTATAACTGTTAGATCATCATGTGACCGTCGGGGATAATTGATCTAACGGTTACAAATTCTGACGGAATGGTTCCGTAACGTACCGTAGCAACTCCCTTTCCTTCAATCCCTAACAAAATATATTTAATGTTTATTTTGCTTTGTTATAAATTCAGTGCATGTATTCATAATTACCCAACTAAAATTAGTACTTTTAAAAAAATTTATGTGGATAAGCTTATAAAAACTCATTCAAAATTAATAGTAGTGTGTCCTCTTTTAGTCTTTTTCCATGTACTTTGTACATGGCTATAGTTCAAAGATGGTGGCCGATTTTTTTTCAAGAACTAGCGTAAGGGATTGCAAATAGAATTCAATTAATTTTGCTTGATTTCGTGTGTGCTTGTGGAATTAATAGAAATATACCACAAAATTTGTTTAGTGTTTACACATCTTTAATCCCACGTGTCTGATCTTGGCTATATAGTAAATACACTTCCAGGACGCCCAACAATTAATCAACATTGAATTTCACACAACTAAATATATCAATTAAGAATAATAATTACATAGCTAAATTCTGATTAACAAAAGAATACAGCAATAATTAATAAACTCTGTACATCATACTTATGTAGTTAAATGCATAATCAGGATCAAGAAAATAAAAAGGAAGAAACAGAAAGGGAATCTTGAATCTTGATAATTATTAATTACAGATAACTATCCCCAAAATTGACAAGACCAATCAAAGAGAATTAAAAAAGAAGAACGAGTCCTAAACAATGTAAATTTGTTCAAAGAAACTTGATAAACCCCACTGCGCCAACCTCCGGCGGCGGCGGCAACAGCGAAAAGTTCAGGTCCATATTCAGGCGAACCGGAGCCATGACGTCATCTCCGCCGCCGTCGGCGGACGTGATGCCGCTGGCGCCGCTCCCGTCTTCAGAGCCACAAGTGGCCCCGCGTTTGCCGCCGGCGCGGCCAGTTTTTCTGATCACCCCGTCGTAATGCTTGCGCATGTGGCCGCCCAACGCCTGACCGGTCGGGAAAACCCTCTGGCAAAAAACGCACCTGTGAACTCTGCCGGAGGCTGAGACCGCGGCGGCGGAGGAATCTCGCGCCTCCGAGACGGGTTTGCTCCGGTGGCCGGTCTTGTGCCCGCCGAGGGCCTGGAACGATCGGAAAGTCTTGCCGCAGTGGCCGCACGCGTACGGGAAGTCCTTCCCGGCGGCGTCGCGTCCGGTGGTCGTGGGGGCGTCGTCGGCGAGGAGAACTAGGCAAGAGGCGGCGGCGTAGTCGTCTTCCTCGCCGGAATCCCCTGTCCGGCGGCGCTTGGCGTCCCTCCACGAGCCGACGGCGTCATCGGCCGCCGTGGGAGGACGGAGCGCTTCGTTCACCATGATTGTTTTCTGTTTGCGCACTTTTAGGTGTTTTGAGAGAGAGAGAGAGAGAGAATTTCTGTGTGGGGAATAAAAATTGAGAGTGAAGGCTTATGAGCGAGTGTGTGGGATTCCCAATATATATAGTGCGGTGGGTTTAGTTAAGGCGGTGGAGAAAGCCTGAATTTACATCACACGCCTTAATTATTACGGTTATTAACGAGGGAATTTTCCTAATCCTAATAGGAGAAAAAATAATAAAAATCTATCGAGATTTTATTGATTTTGAGAAAGTCACAAATCAATTGCCTACTTCGAAAAGGTATTTTTAGTGTATGTTTGGAAGCATTTTTATAATAGACTTTTGATTATAAAAGTTAATTTTTTATATAAAAAGATGTTTGATGTAATACAAAAATGGACTTTTAGAAAAATAACTCTCACAAGAAGTTCATTTCAAAAAAGCTTATATTGGATACTTCTTGAGAAGTCACTTTTCAAAAAATCAATCTTGAAATGGACTTCTCAATAAGTGTTTTTAAACAAATCTTTTAATATTTCATTATTTATCTAGCACACTGTATTTTTTTATTTTTTTTTTGAAGTAAATCAAACAATAAATAACAATACCAGTGATTAAATAGTTAATTGTCATTTTGGGATACTGCGGGGTGTTTTCTGTAATTAGGTGAATTTGAGAGTGTGTACACGCGTACGCGGTGGACTGTGTGTGTAGAAGTGTGTGTGTGAATCGGTAATTTCGTCGCTTACTTCCACTCCAAGGAGTTGTTGCCAAGTCAACAAAATCACAAGTGTTGTATTCTTGCACGTTTTCTAATTCTGGAATCTTTCCCAAATCTCTCTAATTATTCCTAATTTATTTTTTTCCGTTTATTTTGAATCTAAGTTAACATTTATTCTTAATTTATTTTTTTATTTAATAAAAAAACATATTAGGGCATTTTTATTGGTTGATAAGTATTGTAGACCTAATATTTTATTTTTGAACTTGACAACTTTTAGTTATTTTTTAATTGAATTTGTCTATGTCATTCAGAACATGAGTCTTAGCATTCATAATACTTTGGGTCTTTTAAAAAAATATCATACCTCAGGTAGGAAATAGACCTAAGTCTTAGAGGGGATGGGCATTAATATAAAAGTAACAAAATTAACTTTAATGCAAAGAGACCAGGTCTCTGTCTAAAATAAACTTAAGGGGTAGATTGAGTCTCTTTTTTTGTTGCCACATCAGCAGGACTCAGTCTACTTGCACTTGCATTGGAGTATATATTTTCCAGATTGTGTCTATTTTCTACGTGGCCTGTATATTTTTTGAATGAACCTAAAGCATTGTGGATGCATAGTACTAACAACGTGTACTACACATGTATCGAATTAAAAAAAATATTTAAAAGATAAATATAAAAATATTACTTTTTAAAAACTTTTAAAATTACATTGTTAGTTTTAAAATGACGTTAGAGTATTATAAATGAACATAATATTTTTGAAGAGCATTAGATTTTTCAAAGTTTAAGGAATTAACTTTTAAAACTGCATTGTTAGTTTTAAAAAATTAAAATGACGCTACAGTATTATAAATGAACATAATATTTTTGAATAGTTTTCTCAAAGTTTAAGGAATTAATTTAGTACCGTTGAGCTAAATTTTACGTTGTATAATACTGGTAAGCAAAGACTCTCGACAGGCTAGAATCACCTACTCACGAGTTTCCTCGTCGGTTGAACGCCTTAGACCCGCAAAAACTATTACACCGGAAGGGTTTTCTGGTGAAGAGCATCTGATGCTTAAATGAGTGTATGTAGAAGATGATTTTGCAGAGAAAAGTAGAGTATATGAACATAATGCCTGAAATAACCCATCTCACCCCTATTTATAGAGGTGAGATACCTACTTCTAAAAGACTGCTCGAATGATATGAGCTAGTAGCTCGAGCTGCTCGATAGTACAACCTCTCTGTTCAAAATGTCAGAGCGATTATGGAGCGTGGACCAATCAGGTGGTGCCATGTTTCCGTGCCTATGTGCAGTATTAATCACCGTAAGATTCCTTTTTACCCTTTTAGTCCTCCGTGATTAAACCACTTGGTAGCGTACTCAGGTCGAAGTCTGCTAGATTAGAGTTCCGACAGTTCTGGGCTGAATGTAGCTTCCTGGTTGATCCTATGACCAGCCGTTCCTACAAATCGAGTTTCTATCAGGCAAACCGAGGACCCTAGCTCGACCTGTTATTGTCATCCTGAACCTCTTATGTTTGTCCTCTAGATCGAAGGCTCCTTGTCCTGAATCGATGATGTTCGACCACTACCGGTCCTTCTATCATTTAGATCGACCATACGATTCGCTCTGCCTGATCAATCGGTTTACCTTCTTAGGTACGGTATCCCATATCGAATAGTAATTATGATAATTAACGCGAATAAGGGTTGCTTTGGTAAAAATTGTGGCGCACAAGTGTCGTCTAGCTTGATATTTAAAATGCTGATTCTAAGTGGCAACTTTAAACTCTTCGATTACTTACACGAAAACTAATAAAAATTAAGAGATTATACTAATTACCTAAATACTAATTACCTAAATACACTTAGACTCCATTTGGATTGACGAATTTTGAAATTCCAAGAGATTTCAAATGAATGGATTTCAAACTCATTGAATTTCAAATTCACTACATTGAAATCTCTTTGTTTGGATTAAGATTGATGGTGAAAATTCATGAAATTTAAATCCACTAGCAAATCATAGCAAGATTTTTTTTTTCTTTTGTAAAATAAAATATTCAAAATTTGTAAAAATTAATTTCCAAAGCTTATTATTATGTAATTCTCAAAACATGCAATCTTAGAATAATAATATTTTTCTATTAATTTTGTAACAAAAAAGTAAATAAATAAGAAATTGGACCCACAAAAACTATATACACAAAAAAGTAATAAAAAAATTGAATCTTTGATTATTGATATTCACTACTATCAACTTCACAACATTATATATTGAACGAAAAAAATAAAAATATATACTAAGATAAGATTCACATAAAACATTTCAAAAGCAAATTACTAAAGTGTACCATAATATTGTATATCATAGTTTCTCAGTTTTGCTAAGAAGTCAATAGTTGGCTCCATAGTGAAACCAACCTTCAATATACAACAAGTAAACTATACCATATTAATAAGATTATTAGTATTATTTAAGTAATCAGAGAATATGATATAGTTTACTTATTGTATATAGAAGGTTGGCTCCACTATGGAGCCAACTGTTGGCTTCTTCAAAACTGCATAGTTTCTAACAAATAACAAGAAAAATTACTTTTGTCTTTCGACTCCGTCCTACTCCTCTGCCCTTTTCGCCGAAAGAAAAAAAAAACCCCTTTTTTCAGTCGTGGCCACCCTTCTTCCGCCTGAGATCTACAGCATCCAAGTTGCAGACCTCGGATCTGGCCATGGCTGAGTTAGAAGACGCTCATCCTGCCCACCTGCTCCCCACCGGTCCGCTCCGGTTCTTATTGTGTCGCCCTCCTGGCCAAGTTGGGGCCGCGCTTTTCCGTTCTGTCTCCCATCTTGTGTCGGTCGGAGATCAACCACTTGGCCTCTCGTTCGTCAGATCCCTTCAGGTAGGGGCCTCCCGGCCCGAGTGCTCGAGTTGGTTTCTTTTGGCGCAACTCTTTGAGCCCGACCTCTTCGGGCCTCTCCTTCCTCCCGTTTAGCATTTTCGAGAGCTTATATCTGGACTAAGATGCTTTTTAGTCGTTGTTTTAGTTGGAGTTTTGAGTGCTGGGGTCAATTTATGTTACTTTTGTGGTGTTACTTGTGGGATTGGTTTGTTGTGGGTTTGGCTAATGTGTTGGGTTGGAATTTTGTTGCAAGTTCATCGCATGGATTAGATGAGGTAGTTTTTTTTAGTTATTTTAGGTGTATGTTTTGTTAGTTTTTGTGTTATTCTCCTTTGTTTGAGTTAGTTATTCTTCCCATGTGGGAGTTTTAGTTTGAAAAAAATTACCCCCTACACGTTTCAAAATCTGCTTATATCCCACTTGACAAGTATAAAGTTTTTTATTCCCCGTTGATGAATTTTAATCCAAAAATATGAAAGCAGTTTTTTTAAATTCCATACAAGTCTTGTTGACCTCATGTTTAGCATTTAAAGTGATTGATTAATTAAATCAATAATTAACTGAATAAAAATGGTAACAATATCATTGGTGTAATATGAGGCTGAACGGGATCTTGATTCTGAGTATCTGACTTCCCAAAAACAAAATTAAACAAAATATGGATCCAAGTTCATCAAACCCTAACCTTTCAAAATCACTGTCGATTTTTCTTTTTCCAAATCCTCACTGGAGAAAAAGAAGGAAAAAAGGGGTATGTTTCTGATACGTAGTCCGAAGGCAGAATCGTGATGCATAATCGAAAAAAAAGTATGGTCCCAACTCCCAATGTTGAATACAATGAGAGTCGAAGATCTGTACAGAAAAAAATCAAGTTCGGGAAAAAATTGAAGGTTAGTGGAATCAAATAGATACCAAATGAAGGCGTCGTTTACTGTAGCGACGGATCGAAGGTGGTGGATTCTGATTTCGACCTCGACCAAGAAATTTTGTTTGAGGAAGAAGAAATTAACAGAGAAGAATCAGAGGGATTCAATTTATTGGTACCATATTATGCAGTTTAATTTTATTGTATCCATGTCAACATTTAGTCAAAAATTGCATGTTTATTGCATCCATGTCTTAATTTTACATTTTTTTTTGTATGATACATGAACTAATCTTTTTTGTATGATACATGAACAAATCAATATAAATAAATATCAAGAAATTGGTTATATACTTATTTTAGGCTGTGTTCATGGGTTGTGATAACTTAGTTTAACTACCATAAGAAAAGGTATGCTAACTGGAACATGTTAATTTCCAATGCTGATTACAAGTCCTTAAATATACTTGGCGTTAAACAAGTATCTTTCAGTTTGAAGCAATGTGATCCAGC